ATCAAACATTCATTAGATACCTATGCCTGGTACTAGATGCCAGGAATATAGTAGTAGTAGTAGACAAAACATGACTTTTATATCCTAGTTGGGGGAATCAAGTAAACAGATATAAAGATAAGCAAATGGGGTGACTTTACATGGCAATAGTGCTATAAAGAAAATAATAAAGAGAATACTTCTGAATAGAGGAGAGCTTCTTTAGCTAGAAAGGTCTGAGAAACTGTCATGTGAGTTTGACAACAGAACAATAAGAATGAGCAAGAAGTTGACAGAGGAGATCAGAGATGCAGAAAGGCATGTGGCCAAATCACACAGAACATTAAAGGCGAAGTACATGCAATGAGAAGCTACTAGTAGCCTATTCAAATTAAAGCACTAACAGTGGTGAGACAAATTTGCACTGAACCATTAATATTTCCTGCTTCCTTTATCCTCTCTTTGTCATCAAGAGTATACTTGTAAAAATTGGGGTTATCAGAAGTGGTGCTGTGGTTCATGCAGTAGAGCGCTCGCCTTGAGCTGAAGAGTGCAGGGATAGCACCCAAGCCCACAGTTCAAGCCCCATGACCGACAAAAAAAAAGGAAAAAACATTGGGGTTATGGGTAGATCTATGATACTAAAATAGAAGTTCATTAGGTTGTTATATTTGGAACTGAAACCATGAGTATAATTCCACAGTATTTACTCATGATAATATTAACCTCATTTTTACTAAAATAATAGAACTTACTTTTCCATAAACTTATTTTCTAAAATGAGTATTATATATTTAGCACACTGTCCTTTGGGAAATATCTCGTGTTTTGTTTTATGCAAAATAAAAAAAGTGTATTTAAAGTTAAGATTGGACCAAGCAGGTCTACAAGGCTTGATTATTTGTGAAACTATTGTGACCAAATTTCAATACATGAAATATTGTCCTTACACTAATAAAATGTCAAAGGAAACTGACTTAAATAAAGTACTTCTTTCCCCTCTTTTTTGGGGGGGGGGCAGGGAGTTCTACAAAATGAAAGATAGACAAGAGAGTCCAACTACGCATGTTGCAATTATCTCAACTTGATCTTCATGAAACTTCTAAAAGGATGATTCAGCTACCTTGGAAGCAGAGTATCAGAAAGTGGCTAGAACAAGGAGACAGAGGAAATGAGAGATGCTCCTCTCAACACTTTATACCAATGCTTCCAGCACTTTTGATTTTTAGGGGTAAATAGTCAGTTAAGTGGAAATTATTTTTAACCATTTTCCATCAATCTTTCTCAGGTAGAGATAATTTATAGGACAGATGGCCTAGATTGGGGTTATATCAGGATTTTTGATATGGTATAATATTTTTAAGAGAGACTTTACTAAACTGGCTAATTTGGTATGCTCTATGTTGTAAATTTGCTGTTAATGTTTTGAGCTTTGGAAAACCTTTTATTCATAAAAATAAAAAAATGCTACAGTTTAATGGGCCAAAGGACACTTAATTCCCATTCTGATATAATGTTTAAAAATAATTTATAAAAACACCACATATTTTAAATAAGATATCAGAACCAGAATTACTCTCTATAAAATGTATATAAATGCTTTCCTCCTACCAACTTTAAAACAAAGAACTAGAGTCATTAATAATTCTAGCTTGCCAGAGGCATGGCTATTTCTTTATACTGACTGTCGACTATCTAACTTAATTAGAGGTATTAAACTCCATGCTGAGGTCAACAAGCTTTACTTTCTCCAATATTACACTTCAACCAGTGCTCATTAATGTGTCTACTGAATGGATTAACACACCTGAAGATATATGTACAAATGACAGAGGGGACAACCTAATGATATTCAATTGTTCATTTGTAATAGGACACATGTTCTAGGCCTCAACTTATTACCACTAATGTGGAATTTATTAAATTCAGGAGAAAAAATACCAATACAGAAAGCAATATTTCACTAAGAAGAACTGGTATAAGGCAGTTGTTTCTGTGATTGTTTAAACAATTGACCTATTAAGAAAATGATACAATAATAAAACAAAAATATAAGCTTGTTGAAAAATATCTTACTAGGTCTCTGAAGAACAGATTGAGAGTCATAAAGAATGGGGAAGAGAAAAAGCTAGATATTATAGTAATTAAAGTAAGATGGTGCTGGCACAAAAAGAGAATGACCAATGCAACAGAATGGAATCCAGAAATCAATACAGACATGAATGGTGAAATTTAATTTGCTAAAGGTACCAAGAGTACATATGGAGAATTTAGTCTCATCAATAAATGGTGAGGAAAAACCTGGATTTACACAAGAATAAAAATGAAATCAGACTGTTAGAGCCATACATAAAAATCAACTCAAAATGGATAGAAAACTTAAATGTAAGACTGAAACCATGAAACAACTAGATGAACACACACACACAAAGAAAGTTCCTTGATACTGGCTTTGGCAATGGCATTTTTGGATGTCAGATCAAATGTCTAGGATAGAAACACAAAAATAAATAGGATTATATCAAACTATAAAGCTTCTGCATATAAAAGAAACAATCCACAAAGTAAAAAAGGAACCTACAAGCATGGAAAAACGGCAAATTATATATTTCATAAGATGTTTAGATCTATGCTGGATGCTGGTGGCTTACTCCTAGCTACTCAGGAGGCTACGATCTGAAGATTACAGTTCGAAGCCAGCCTGGGAAGTCTGTGGAAAGGAAAGGAAAAGGAAAGTCTGTGAGACTCTTTTCTCCAATTAACTACCAGAAAACCATTATTGGAATTGTGGCTCAAAGTGGTAGAATGCTAGCTTTGAGCAGAAAAGTTGAGGAACAGTGCCCAGCCATGGAGTGCAAACCCTACTACCTCCCTATCTCCCCACCCCCCAAAAAAAGAAATATCTAAATTTATAAAGAACATTTACAATTTAGTAGCAGAAAATCAAGAAGCCATTAAAAAGGTAAGCAAAGCACCCTAACACATATTTCTCCAAAGTAGAATGGCCAGATGATATATGATAAGGTGGCTATATTGGGGAAATTGTCAAGGAAATGCAAAAATTAAAATCATTACAAGCCAAGTGCTGGTGGTGGGGACTGTGCTTTGAAGCCAGCATCGGCAGAAAAGTCCATAAAGCTCTATTTCCAATTAATCAGAAAAATGCTAGACTGGAGGCATGGCTCAAGTCCTATCTCTAGCTGAGCAAATAAGCCAAGCAAGTGTAACCCCTTGACTTTAAACCCCAGTACCAGCAAAAAAAAAAAAAAAAAAAGGAGACAAAACAAAAACAACAAAGCTACTGGGAGATTTGTTAATATGGCTAATATAAAAAAGGCAATAAACGATTATGAGAGTGTAGAGGAAAGGGAACTCAGTATATTACCAATGGGAATGTAGATTGGTGTAGCCACCTAGTGAAAATAGTATGGAAGTTGGTGAAAAAATTAAAAAGAAAACTACCAATACAAGAGCTGAAATCACCCCCTCATCTGTTCTTCCATGTTCACTGTAGTATTATTCAAGATATCTAAAATCCAGAAACATCTTAGTTGTTTATCTATAATAAATGCATACTAAATGTGTTTGTCTGTACATGTCTGTGTCTATTTCTTTTTTTTTTTTTTTGGGTCCGGTCGTAGGGCCTGAACTCTGGGCCTGGGCGCTGTCCCTCAGCTCTTCAGCTCAAGGCTAGCACTCTATTCCTTGAGCCACAACGCCACTTCCGGCTTTTTTTTTCTTTTTGCTTATGTGGTGCTGAGGAATCGAACCCAGGGCCTCAGGCATGCAAGGCAAGCGCTCTACCACTGAGCCACCTTCCCAGCCCAGTCTGTGCCTATTTCTGTGTATATAGTAGAACATTACTCAATATTCAAAAAGGAGATTTTGCCATTTGTTTCAGCAACATGGATGGACCTACAACAAAAAAATACATAAAGAATAATACAGCTGGGCTGGGAAGGTGGCTCAGTGGTAGAGCGCTTGCCTCGCATGCATGAAGCTCTGGGTTCAATTCCTCAGCATCATATAAACAGAAAAAGCCAGAAGTGGCTCTGTGGCTGAAGTGGAAGAGCACTAGCCTTGAGCTGAGGAGCTGAGGGACAGCGCCCAGGCCCAGAGTTCAAGCCCCACGACTAACAAAAAAAAAAAGACTACAGCTAGACAGAGTAGTGCTTGCTTATAATCCCAGCCCTTGGGAGGCTGAGGAAGACCATGAATTCAAAGCCACCTTGGGCTTCATAGCAAGACTTGTTTCAAGCAAAGCAAAGGAAAACAAACACCACACAAACACAACAAAAATGGTGAAAAAAGAACTACCTTTCCAAAGACCTTCCTAATAATACAGTGGTTTAATACAGTGGTTAAAGTGAATGAGAGGATGAAATGGGAAGATATAGGTCAAAGGATTCAAATTAGCAGATACATAGGATGAAAAGGCTAGAGGTCTAATAAATAGGAAGAAATGTAGTTTTATAAAATTAGATGGTATTTGAGATTTTGTTTTGAAAGCATATTTAATTCTATCTGTCAAAGTAACTGTGATGACAGATATGTTATTTTGTTTCACCACAGTAATAATTTTATTATATCTATATAGCTTGTAACATTATGTCATAAACCTCAAATATACACAATAAAAATTTACTAAAAACTGGAAGAATTATAATCTCCAATCACATCATTGCTTTCTAAGGAAAACTACAACAATCCGAAGATAGCAATGGGTATAGCCAGAAAGAGTACTTAATAAATTGTTACATATGTTTTTTGTTTTTTTTTTTTTGGGTCCAGTCATGGGGCCTGAACTCTGGGCCTGGGTGCTGTCCCTCAGCTCTTCAGCTCAAGGCTAGCATTCTACCACTTGAGCCACAGCGCCACTTCCGGCTTTTTTCTTTTTTCTTATGTGGTGCTGAGGAATCAAACCCAGGGCCTCATGCACCTTCCCAGTCCCTACTTATGTATTTTATATTAACTTTCTTACTAGGATTTTACATCTAAAACACATTTTTCTCAACACTTACTTTTTTGGTCAAAGAGTCATCAGAATCTGAAGGCATTCTTGTTGACACATGAAATATTACTTCTACTGTAGAGGTAGCAAAATATGGAGTGGTCAATCCAGTGCTTTTGTTTTTTTGTAGTCCTCCCATAAAACCACAATGATTTGTAAGATTTACCTAGAAGCAATGAAAAACTCTATTAACTAGACAGAACAAAACTCCAAAACACTTGAACTTGAAAGTGAAAAAGGTGACATTGTCCAAAAGAGAAATGTAATGTATTAGCTGAATGGTAACACCTTAATAATAACAATAAATCATATTTGAAAAAGACTTCAACTTTTTTTGCTTTGCATAACATTAGGAATAGAGGAATAATGTGTTTTGGTTTTTTTTTTTTTTTTTTTTTGTCGGTCAAGGGGCTTGAACACTGGGCCTGAGTACTGTCCCTCAGCTCTTCAGCTCAAGGTGAGCACTTTACCACTGGAGCTATAGCGCCACTTCCAGTTTTCTGGTGGTTTACTAGAGATAAAGAGTTTCACAGACTTTCCTGCCAGGGCTGGTTCTGAACCATGATCCTCAGATCTCAGCCTCCTGAGTAGTTAAGACTACATGTGTGAGCCACCGGCGCCCAGCTCAAGTTTTGTTTTTCTTTTTGCTGGTCTTGGGGCTTGAACTCAGGGCATGGGTGCTGTCCATTAGTCTCTTTGTGTTCAAGGCTAGCCCTCTACCACTTTAGCCACAGCATCACTTCTGGCTCTTTCTGAGTAGTTTATTGGAGATAAGAGTCTCATGGACTGGCTTGGAACAATGATCCTCAGATCTCAGCATCCTGAGTAGCTAGGATTACAGATGTAAGCCACTGGCATACAGCTAGGAATAAAGTCTTTTATATATGATTAACTAATACTACATCTAGAATTATAGTCTTCCCCTCAGTATCTGGGTTTTTTACATCTAGGGATTCAATCAACTATTAGAAAATATTCAGAAAAAAGGTCAAGTGTGTTCTGAACAGACTTGTCATTCTCTAAATAACACAGTATAACTTACCTATCATTTATTTCATTAAACACAAATCTAGAGATCAAATTATTCAGAATAATGTAAATCATGCTATACTCAAGTGAGTATATGCAAATTTTGGTGCCTAAGGGAGTTCAGGAACCAAACCTCCATAGACGTTGAGAGACAATTGTATTAATTTATTGTTCACATTATTTTTTCCTAAAGTATTTGAGAATTCATAATTAGTAACAATTAGCAATCAACTACTGTTCACTATGAGTCTTTTATTAGGCAATGAGATATTAATGGTGAATTATAAAGATCAGAATAAATACAAAATCTGAGCTAAAATAATTAGGTATATCAGTATTTATTCATAAGTTTGTGGTATAAACTAGAGCCCAGAATAAAATATAAAAAAGCACAAATTATACTTCAATTCCATTTAGTAAACTATAAATTTTAATCTGTGAAAAGATTCTTTTTCTTTTTTGGTGCTAGTCCAAGGCCTTGAACTCAGAGCCTATGTGCTGTTCCTCAGCTTCCCACCCGCTCCCCACCCCCCGCCCCACTCCCACACTCCCTGCCCAAGTCTAGTGCTCTATTGCTTGAGTCACCACTCCACTTATAGCTTTTATGATGCTTAATTGGAGATATTAATCTTATGACTTTCTTGCCCAGACTGGCTTTGAACAATTATCCTCAGATCTCAGCCTCCTGAGTACCTAAGATTATAGGTATGAGCTGTAGCAGCACCTGGCTTAATCTGTGAAAAGATCTAAAGAACACTTTCATGTTCTCTGTGTGTGTGTGTATGTATGTATGTAAATGTGTGTATATATGTATATTTTAGAAATTAAGTGTAATTAAAATTCATATGTGTGTACACATATATATATATATCACCTTTATTTAAGGGCTGTTGTATTGGATAATATTCCTTGGATCTATGTGATATAAAGAAGTAAAAAAAGAGAAATATAGTAAAGAAAAGGATATTGCACTCAGAAAATCAATTATGCATATACTTTGAAATAATAAAATTTTGATAGAAGTATTACATAGGACAATCATTAAATTGTTAATCTGGAATTTAAATATGACACTGCATGGCTTAAAAAGGTAAAATCATTTTGAGTGATAAATTGGAGAATAAAAATCTTCACATTGTTAACTGAACAGATCTCATATGTCAGTGTTATTAATGGCTGACTTATATAAATGACAGACTTATTTTTATGCTATTACTAACAGATTGCATCTACCTATATACTCATCTACTTATTTACTTAGCTGTGCTAAGGCTTGCACTCTGTACTTCTTGAATACTAGGTAAACACTAGTATTCAACTGAGCTATACCCTCAGTTCTCAGTCTTATAATTAAAAAAAAGTATTTTTTGATTCATTAATACAATTATAATGTTAAAAAATTAGTAGTATAAAAATTATACCAAATTCCTTCTCTATATTTTTCATATATCTACTTAGTTTCACTAAGAAACCAATTTAAGTTTGCTTCCAAAAGTATTCTGTCCAATTAAATTTTTATATGTGATTGCATTCAGAGCATGGAGATAGTGTTCTACAACTTTCTTTTTGTACTTAAAATGTTTTGAAAGATACTGCTGGTTAAATTTTTGTCTCTCCAGCGTTAAGGCTTGAACCTGAAACCTGGTATATTCTAAGGCAAGTGCTTGAACCATGGCTTCATAAAAGTTCATTTTATTGAGGAACAAGAATTTAACCAGTGTCCTACTGATGGATATTTAGATGGCTTCCAATCTTTTGGTATTGGTTAATATCTTTTGCTATTGGTTAATATTGCAATGAAAAACATGAACATACATTATGTTGTAATCTGTGAAAGTATATCTGTGGACAAATAGTTAAAACTTTTAAGTCAAAGTAAAAACTTCAAGTGCATTTCTAACTTTGTAACAATACTAAACTGCATATCACAGATAACACTAACAATGTATGATAGTATGAGAAATACACCATAATGCCTGATGAAAAATAGGTTTTTGTTTTACTTTAGTAAGGAAGGTCTATTTCCAAGTAAATTCAATGATTATATAAAGAAGAATGTCTCAATTTAGTGTTCCTTTGCCATAAACACTTTTGTAAATTTGCTAATCTCTAGTTTTTAACTTATTTAAAGTCATATGCAGATAAAATGATAAAGAAAATTCGGTGTTCTTTGCCTGGAGCCTCACAATGCAAAACACATATTATATACTTGCAATACAGCGATGATATGGTTAAGAGAAGGACATGTTTTCAACACGAGGATCCCCCATGTTTGTTACCATATCATATGAACAATACCCATACTCTCTCCTCCCATCTCAGCTCCTTCATGCCTTAGAAAAACAGAAGTTGTTCTCAAGTTCTGTAACTGCCATTTCAATAATATTATATTAATAATATGTAATATTCCAAGAGCCTGGAGATATTCTTATTGTCTTTTTGTTAATGATTTCAGATTTCATCCCACTGTGGGTAGAGATCACACCATATGATTTCAATGCTTATACCTGTTTTTTTAATAGCATAGAATATAATCTATTTTTTGTATATGGTCAAAGGATATTTGAAAAGAATGTGAATTTTTTCACATTCTTTTTAGCATTCACATTCTTTTGCTCAAACGTTTGTGCTACTAGTTGAGTCACAGCTCCATAGGACTTTTGGTGTTTATTTTAGGGCTCTGTTGGATAAACACACATTTAAAACTGCCATGTCTTTTAAATGGATTGATCTTTGCATTATTATATAATATATCCTGTCTCAGGTAATTTTCTTTCCCCTGAAATCTATCTAATTTAGTATTAATGTACCTGCTCTGACATTTTTAATTATAGAACTCTTTCTATCCTTTTAAATTCACTTGCTAATCTATGTCTTTTAATGGTAATATTGAGACCATTTATATTTCATATAATTGTTGAAGGCTTAAGCCTACCATCTTATTTTTGCTTTTTGTTTATTTTCTGTCCTTCCCTCCCTCCCTTCCTCCCTGCCATCCCTTCCTTCCTCTCTTCCTTCCTTCCTTTTGTTCTTTCGTTCTGTGTGTGTTTTGGTGCTGGAGCTTGAACTCAGGGTCTAGGCACTGCCACTTAGCTTTTTTGCTCAAAGCTGGCACTCTACCACTTAGGCCACAGACCTACTTCCACTATTTTCCATTTCTTGGTTGTATTTTTCCAAGCTTTTATGGGTTATTTAAATGTTTTCCAGAATTCTTTTTGTTTTGGTGCTGGGCCTAGGCCTTAAACTTAGGATCTGGGGGTCCCTGAGCTTTTTTGCTTGAGGCTACATCTCCACTTTGGCTTTTTTTTTTTTTTGTAAGATAAGAGCCTCATGGGCTTTTTTGCTTGGGCTAAACCATGGCCATAATGTCAGTCTCCTGAGTGGCTAGAATTACAGGCATGAGTCTCTGGCACCCAGCTCTGTTTATCATCTTTTTAGTTTACTGTTTTAGTGTGTGTTCTAGGTACACTATATGCACATAACTTTTTCACAGACAACTAGTATATCTGTGTCTAGTAATGCTACTTTACTATATGTCCCTTTACTTTCCTATTTGTAATATAAATATAATAAATAATTCTTGTACATGTTTAGTTTTGCTCCAATTGTTATATATAATTAAGAAAAATCAAGAGAAGTTGGATATTTTTCTTGCCATGCTCTCTCCCTACTTGATACTTGAAAGTTCTTTCTTTTATTATTCTCTCTAGCAATAGAACTTATTTCAGCAACCCTTTGTGTGTATGTGTGTATGAGTGTTTCTGTTGGACACAGGGCTTGAACTCTAGGCCTGGGTGCTGTCCCTGAGCTTTTGTGCTCAGGGGTAGCAATCTACCAGTCGAGTCACAACTCTATAGGCTTTTTGGTGCTTAACTGGAGATTAAATTGGAGATTAGCCCTGACTAAACTGGCCTGGTCAATCCTCACATATCAGCTTCCTGAATAGCTAGAATTACACATGTGAGCCCTCAGTACCTGGCTCTATAACACACTGTATTTAAGTCTACTCTCTCTTTGACGTTCAGTTTGATTTAAACTATTTTATTATCTTCCAATTATAATGATAGTTTCTGTTGTAGTCCTACTCTACTCTATTTTGAGGACTAACTACTGAATGTTTTGTTTGTATTTTAATTTCTAAAATTTCTATTTGTCATTATTTCATTTTGTATTTCTTTCTTTTTTGGTGGTACTAAGAATTGAACTCAGGGCTTTGTGTTAGTAAGGTAGGTGCTCTACAACTTAAGCCAGCTTCTTATTTCCTTGGTTATTTTTAAGGTAGTTATCTTGTTTACGCTTAGGTTGGCCTTGGCTGTGATACTGATACTTGTGATTTCCTATACTGTATGAAATGACAAGCACATACCACTGGACTCAGTAATTGTGCTTTCCCTGTAGAATAATGGGCACATGTGGTTCTGTACCCAGATAGTGAGATGTAGTATCTCAAACTTTATGCCCAGTTTGGCCTTGAACTCTGATTCTTTGATATATAACTCTTAAGTAGCTAGGATTATAGGATTGAGCCAACTGCATCCAGCTGTATTTTCTATTTCTTTGCTGAAACTTTCCATCCTTTTATTTAGAAACACAGTTCCTAATTGTTCACTGAAGTATTTAAAATCTTTGTCATTTTTCCCTAATAGCTATGCATGTCAAGGAGAATCTTTTCTAGTGTCATAATTTTTTTTGCCAAATCTGATGTCAAAAATATTTGCTCTTATATTTTCTTTTCTAAGGCTTGCACTCTGGGCCTTGGTAATATCCCTGAGCTTTTTTGCTCAAAGTTAGTTTCCTACCACTTGAGCCACAGTTCCACTTCTGGCTTTTTCATGGTTAACTGGAAATAAAAATCTCACTTTCCTGCCTGGGCTGGCTATGAACCATAACCCTCAGACTTCAGTCTTCTGAATAGCTAGGATTATAAGTATGAGCCTGTATATGGAGTGAAGCAAGTGACTGACTTCACCCTTCTATATATGGCTTCTCAGGTGTGTTAGCAAAAGGTTATTCTTTCTTCAAGGGATCGTCTTGGCATCCATGTAAAAACCTAGCTGAATATAGAGGTGTGGGCTTATTCTGGACTTTCATTAATTTTATTCCACTGATCATATGTCCATCCATCTAACAGCACCAAACTAAGTACTAGTTAGTAGTAACTTTTGGAATCCACAAATATAATTCCTCCCAATTTGTTCTTCTTCCCATGTTTTCCTCACTTGCACTAATATTTCTTGGCTTCTTCAAAACTGAGAAAAATCTTTTTATAATGTTTTAAACAATTTTCAAGGAACTTTTCATAAACATTATCTATCTCAACTGAACTTCGGATAATCTCTGCTACTACCTGTAAAATTTAATAAAGAGGCCTAGAAAGCTCATATAACTTACCAAAGGAAAAATATCAAGTCAGTCATAAAAATATATACTAAATCAATAGAGTAAATAAAAATATACTAAATACCAAATATATATAAATGATTCATCGTAAGTTTAAATAATCACCAGGATATGATTTCCAAGGCAATGTATATCATATGCACATCTGCTTTAAATATATTTTCATCAAAATGTTGAAGCTATGGGTTAGGCTGATTCAATATATATTAAATGTTATTAACCTATTAGCTTAATGATAAAACAAGTCATATCAAATTCACTTTCTGTTATAACATACCTGACAGTTCATTTTTAATTCTAATAAAGATACTATTCTTTTTTGGTACTGTGGATGGAATCCAGTGACCCACCCTTCCTTCCTTCCTCCTTTCCTCCCTCCCTCCCTCCCTCCCTCCCTTCTTTTCTTTTTTGTTGGTTATGGGGCTTGAACTCTGGGCCTAGACTGCTGTCCCTCAGCTCTTCAGCTCAAGGAGAGCTCTCTACCACTTGAGCCCCAGTGCCACTTCCAATTTTCTGGTGGTTAATTGGAGATAAGAGTCTCATGGACTTTCCTGTCTAGGCTGGCTTTGAACTGTTATCCTCACATCTCAGCCTGCTGAGTAGCTAGGATTACAGGCGTAAGCCACCGGTGCCTGGTCCCAGTCTTTTTCTTACTAGATAAACACTTCACTACTAAGCCAGATCCCAATCTATAACTTGAGTTGTTAAATGTTTTGTCACTACTAGGGTTTGAACTCAGTACCTCCTTGCTAAGCAGGTGTTTTACTGCTGAGCCATGCCTCTATTCTCAAGTTATAAATTCTAAAATGGATTCAATATGAATTAGCTGCCACAATAACCTAAATGCTACACTTTTCAATATTTCTTCTATTACTCTCATTAACTCTCAGGAGAACAATGTGACAAACTATTTCTTTTCTTGGTGCCAAACAAGTATGATTTATTGGGTAGTAAGCAACACAGTTTTCTTTTACAAAGCAGACAAACAGAAAAAGAAAAGCAAGAGACCACAGACAGGTTCTCTGGGATTAGTTATTAGTAAAGATGAGGAACTGGAAACTCATTTTCCCCAAACTAAGCATGCTCATGCATCCCTGGAAAGCTGTTATATAGCTCTAAGGTCTTAGAATGAAGATTATTTATTGTTCTAGTGGTTATGTAAATAAGGAAAAAAATCTAGACTTTCCTAGTTCATTACTCTTTGACAATACAGTAGGCCCACCTTATCTTTGGACTTATTTCATATAGTTTTGATCAACTGTGGCAAAAAATAAAAACCAAAAGGAATTACACAGACAAAAATTAAATTCCCACATATGTAGGATGTATGTATTAAACAGTTCAACCTGATGTCTGTTGAGTTTAAATCATTGTATGATCTGTTAAATATTTCTCTGCCCTTAATTCTGTGATATCATGATCCAAAAAAGCAAATGCTATCCCTAAAACAAGGTATGTTATTATGCTTAAGTGAAGTGATAATGTAAAATTTTGTAATTTTTTTTAAAGGTGGCATATCTTTAGTAGAAATTGGGTGGCATTACAGGAATAATGAATCAAGTATCTACATAGTACTGTATGTAATTCTATGCATTATTTTTTCCTCAGTAGTAATCTCCTTGGTACCAAATATGTCTGAGGATACCAAAGATCTATATATATTGTCTTAAACCAACCAATACTTCCCCCCCCAAGACCCCTATTTCTGCTGTATTTGCAGATGAGATAAAAGGTAGAAAACAGTTTTTTAAAAAAGTCCATTGTTAAGCTTTTGTGTCTCCTAAAATAAGTGTTTCTAAAATAAGCTGAAAAGAAAAAATAATTTGTTATAAAATAGAGGTTTGGTATCTATGCATTCAGGTAACCATAAATGGACAGTATTTTCTCAAAAAAATGCATTTGTGCCAGGCTCCAGCTGTTCATGCCTGTCATCCTAGCCACTAAAGAGATTGAAACCTAAAGGATCATGGTTTGAAGCCAGCCTGGGCAGAAAAGCCCATGAGACACCACTTCAACCAACAAAAATCTGGGCTGAAGGTGTAGCTCAGGAGGTAGAATGCCAGCTGTGAACAAGGAAACAGAGCAAGAGGGTGAGTCATACTGAATTTTAAAAGTTTTTAAAAAAGAAACATACTTAACATTTTTTCCTCATTATTGCTTAAGCAATATAGTTTAATAACCATTATATAAAATTTAGTATTAGGTATTGTAATTTAATCTACGGATGTCTACAAGTATATAGAAGGTTATATGCGAGTTATAAATAAATAACTCAAGAGACTCGAACACTTTTGTATTCCAATATCTGCAGAAGTATTCTGAAACCAACCCTTACTAGCTACCATAAGATTACGTTAGTGTGACATTTGCTTTCATTAAAAAAAGTACCTCCCAACCAAGACCAGCTACAAAATCTTCATATGCTTGACTTCCTCCTGTGTTGGTAAGAATGGAGTGTTTGTCTTCTTGTCCTTCTGCAACATAAAATACTGCAATCTTGTGGGTCTCTCGGCTATTAAAAAAAAAGATTACAGCATTTATTCATTTATCCATTAACTCCTCTAGTAATTCAATTCTATGTACATAATGTGTTAGTTATAATAGGGAGATGAAAAAGACATGTTATGGTCTGTGGAAGAAGACAAGTAATTGCAATAAATTAAAAGATTACAAAGGTGACACAAATGCTACTGGAACAGAAGGAAGGCACTATTTCTTTTGACTGGGAAAACAGAGCAACTCAGAGGAGAAGGTAAAACTTAAGTTAGAGTAGTTAGCTTCATACATTATGTTTTTCTATCCTTATCTGTTTTCAGACAAACTTTGAATCCAACAATTGTGAATCCCAGTTTTAAAGGAAATGTCTTAGAACTGAGTAGGAATACAGAGATGAGTGAGAAATGTATTCCTTCAAAGCACATATAATACTGAAGAAATATATATATACAAAAAACTATGGATTCATTTTATTACTATGGTCTTTGATATTTTACTTTTGGTTTCCTCTTTTTTTTTCTTTCAGATTTTGAGACAGTCTTGCTGTGAAGCCTAGCTGGTCTTGAAGTTACTATGTAGCTCAGGCTGGCCTTGAATTCTCCATCTTCCTCCCTCAACCTCTCTAATGCTGGTATTACAAGTGTGTATAACTATACCCAGATTCGAGATTTGAAAGGGTTCATAAACGTCACCTTTCCAAGCTAATTAGGGCACAGTATGTTTAATCAATATTGATTTAACAAGCATGGGTTAACAAACTTATGACCAGAAGTAAAGTTTCTATCAATTAACCACTTAGAAATATTGGTGAGGGGTTGGGGGTTTAGCCCAAAGGAAGGGTGCCTGCCCAGCACGCACAAGGCCCTGGGTTCAGTCCTCAGCCCTGGAAAAAAAAAGAAAAAGAAAAAAAAAGCTACAAAAGACCAAAAAAAAATATTGGTGAATATACAGAAAAATTTCAATGTGCCAATGAATCAACATTTTTGGAGTGGAAGACTTCCTGAATTGTAGATTAAGAATCTTACTAGTAAAATACAATTTAACTGGTGTGTGTGTGTGTGCCCAGCAAAAATGATTTTTAAAAAAAGCATCATCAAGTTTTTGTTTTTTTGTAAAGACATATAGTGAATGAGGAAATATTAATTTAAGGAAATCTACTAAATTTTGTTAGTAATAGTGATTTGACATGAACCATATGTGTTCTCTTTTCTCATCCCCTCAGCAATATGTTATAAATGTTTTGCCATGGGCATCTTACTTAAGCCTAGAAGAGGAAGGTTCCATGAGTTTTATCCTGGACAATGTGGGCTATTGGTAATATTTTTCATCTTTTTCCAGGTCCATGTCACAAAAGCTCTATTCTAGCTATAAAAGTACAGATAAATGGACCACATAGCCCTTCCCTTACCTAACATCATTTCTAGACTAGGGCTGAAGGCTGAGAATCTCAATATTCTTCATTCTCACTTGCCTACAGAGAGAAGGGTGAAGGTTCGTCTAGTAGAAGTAAGCTAAGAAGATCAGGGACTGTCAACCCTTCTAGTGCCTAATTGTAGAGTAGAGCTGAAGGTGTCACTTCAAATAAACCCCTGACCTCAGTTATAGATACTGGTGCTCAGGGTGAAAGGCAGGTCATAAGGACAAAGAACTTAGAACTACTTCTGTTTAAGAGGACTATCTGGAAAAGAGCCTGGGATAAATTCATTAAGAGAAACTGGTAGCTATGACACAAATGACATATCAAAGCATCTAATTTAAGGAACCAGGAAAGACAGTAAAAAATAAAAAAAGCCCTTCTGGGATCACAGTTAATTCTGGAGGTCAAGAAACCTGTGTATATGAACTAGGCTAAATCTAATTAGAAACAATTGGAATAAGGTATCTGACAGATACATATATTTATTAACACACTGTCAATTCCTAGGAAGAAAAGCCTTAAATATAATATCTAGTCATTCCTGGAAGACTGGTAATCTGTGTACAGGTCCAAGGCTATATACATTTTTGGAATGACCAGAGTGAAACTTCAAGCTATTAGGCTCTGTGCGAAGGTGAACAAAAATGGAACAATGATCTGTGATAATAGCTTCCCAGTTGCACAAATCTAGCAGTAAATAGTGAAAATGTGTCTGCCTTGAGCACAAACTTTGATCAATAAGTAGGCGGTGTAAACCCAAGGAAGATGCTCTCATTGATTAGGCTAAAACAGAAAAAAAAAATTGGAGTAAGGAGATCAGATTTTTTTGGAAGACAAATTGCTTCCAATGAGGAACAAGCCAACAATCACTAACATACTTTTAATTCAAAGATCAAGCTAAAAAGAAATGAAGTACCATGAAAAATGAAAAAAAGTACCAATAGAGCTAGAGTTAAATCTTCTGTCAGACTTATTTAAAATCAAAATAATAAACAAAAATCAATGAAGCTAAAACCTGTTTAAGATGATTAACCAACAACTAAAGTGAGGAAGAAAAGTAGAGACTTACATTACTAAAATCAAAAATTTAGGAAAAGACAACATCACATGCCTTCAAGAAATAAAAAGGATAGGAAATAGGGGCTGAAAAGGTGGCTCAGTGGTAGAGTGCTTGCCTTGCATGCATGAGGCCTTGGTTTCGATTACTCAGTACCACATAAGCAGAAAAAGCCACGTGGTGCTATGATTGATGATTGAAGTGTAGAGTGCTAGCCTTGAGCTGAAGAGCTGAGGGACAACACTCAGGCCCAAAATTCATGCCCCACAACCAACAACAAAAAAAGGATAGGAAAAATATGAAAAATTCTATGCCAATAAATAAGTTAGATTAAATAGGTAAATTCTTAAAAAGACACAATTTTCTGAAACTAATAAGATGAATAAAATTGGATCTGTAGGTAGTAAAGATGACTTTCGTTTAGTAATTTGATTGAAAAGTAAAAATATCCCTACTTGCAGATGGCATCATTTTATACGTAGGAATAGCTAAACAATCCACTTCTAGAAAGTTGTTAGAGCTAATAAATAAGCTCAGTAATGTTAAAATACACAAAAACTATATACAGAGATCAACTGCATTTCTCTTTTCTTTTCTTTTTTTCTTTTTGTTGTTGATCGTGGGACTTGAACTTGGGGTCTGGGAACTGTCCCTGAACTCTTTTGATCAAGGCTAGTGCGCTACCACTTTGAGTCACAGCATTACTTCTAGTTTTCTGGTAGCTAACTGGAGATGGAGAGTCTCATAGACTTTCCTGCCTAGGCTGGCTTTGAACCATGATCCTCAGATGTCAGCCTCCTAAGTAGCTAGAATTATGGATGTCAGTCACCCGTGCCTGGTTTCAACTGCATTTCTATAAACTAACAATGAATAATTTAAAAAATGAAGAAAAAAATCCTTTTATGAAAGGATAAAAACTACATTTTACAAATGTAAAATTTATACTCTGAAAACAATAAAACATTGTCAAAAGAAATTAAAAATCTAAATTGAAAACTTTCCCATGTTCATGGACCAAAAGACTTAATATTGCTAAATGACAGTACTACCTAAATTGATCTATAGATTCAGTGCAAGCCCTATAAAAATCTAAGGTACTTATCTTACAAGAATCAACAAGATGAGCAGGTCCAGTGGCTCACGCCTGTAATCCTAGCTATTAAGGAGGCTGAGATCTGAGGATCTCGGTTCAAAGCCAGTTCAGGCAGGAAAGTCAGTGAGACTCTATTCTCCAATAAACCACTCAGAAAACCGGAAGTAGTGCTGTGGCTCAAGAGGTAGAGCACTTGCCTTGAGCTGAAGAGCTGCAGGACAGCACCCAGGCCCAAAGTTCAAGCCCCACAACCAACAGAAAAACAAAAAAGAATCAACAAGATAATCCTAAAAGTCACAAGAATATGCAACAGATGTGAAATAGGCAAAGCAATTTTAAGAAAGAATAGCTGGAGCACTCACACTTTGATTTCAAAACTTGCTGCCAAAGAAATCAAGGCCTCATAATACTGCCATAGGAAGAATCACATGTCTAGAAATAAACTCTTATCAATTGCTTTTTGATAATAATGCCAGAATCATTCAATGGAAGAAAAGAATAATTTCTTCAAAAGTAGATATCCACCCGCAGAAGAACAAAGGTGTTATGCCATCTACAAAAAAATTAAGTAAAAATGCTTGATAGGAAATGTACTAATTACCTTACTTATGTAACTATAACCCCTCTGTATACTATTTTTACAATGAAAAAACAAAAAAATTAAGTAAAAATGGATCACAGACCTAAATTTAAAGGTTAAACTATGAAGATTTTAGACAAAAACACAGGACCATATATTAAGCAAGAGCTTCTTAAATGAAACATGAAAAACACAAATGATAACAGAAAATAATAGATAAACTTGGACTTCATCAAAATTAGAAATTTTTGTGTTATGGATGCTACCATTAATGAAGTAAAATGACAACCTGAATATTCTGTTGATTTATGAGACTGTTTGTACAGAATTTGTATCCCAAAAGATATAAAGAACTCTTACAACTCCTCAAGTTGAAGACTGTCAAGTAATTGTTTCCTAGGGCTTCTATAACAAATTACTCAAACCAGGTAGCTTTTAAACAATAAAAATTTGTTCTCATATATGGATCTAGATGCTAGAATTCAGGAATAAAAGTGCTGATTCTAGGATGAGGTTTTTTTTGTCTTTCCTGACTGTCGACAATCCTTAGCATTCTTCACTTCTAGCTGCAATTTCTGCATGGCCACATGACTTCTGTGTGAATATGTGTATGTGCCTTCAAATGGCTTTCTTATAAGAATGCCAGTTATGAAATTTAGGGGCATATCCAAACTAATATGACGTAATTTCAACTAACTGCAACCCTACTGCCAAATTATGACCTGAGGTTCTGGTGGACATGGATTTTTATAGAAAATGTACAAGAATAGTCATAGCAGCATTGCAGTGTTCATTATAGTCAAAAAAGTGAAATCCAAATGTCCTAACAGATGAACAAAACGCATTTTATCCTTATAATAAAATAATAC